ATCTCGTTAGATCATGGAAAATTGTATTTTTCCGAAATATTTTGGAACTCTTAAAATATAATAAATTGTATAATTCCGATGGAAAAACAGTGGCGTTTTCTTTTTTGTATGGAGAGTGATGTACTTCAATGTAGTACATGCATATACCAAAAGCGTTGCGGGTTTTCCAACGGAATTGTATACTTTATTACATAGTTTTTAAGACTTCCGCCAAAATATTTCGGAAAAATAGTATGATTTACGTGAGCTGTATGTATTTGAAAGTACCTCAAAAATTCTATTTTTTTTTTTTGATTCCGTGACCTTTAAACTGAGACTCTACTATTATTTGAGGTGATTTTTTAGAAAAAATATTTTGAAAACTAATTTTATTTTTGGAGGTATTTTAAAATAGGTTCAGCTTCTGTAGACCTTGATGATTTTCGGAAATATTTTGGCGGAAGTCTTAAAATTTAATAAATGCTGTATTAGAAACAGTACCAATTTTATTTTTTTTTTTCTTATGTAGAGTTATGCACCCTAATGTACTATAACGATCAAACCTTAAAACGTAAAAAGTTTTTGTAAAAAAAATTGTTTTTAGAAATATATCAAGTGCGAATAGGTTAATTTTCAAAAAAAAAAAAAAATATTTGTGAGAGAAACAAATTTAATATAGAAAAAAAATCAGATGAAAAATTACTGCATTAGTTAGATCTTAGCTAATGAATACATACTGCAATAAAAGATTACTAACATTGCATACAAAATCCAATTATTCTTAACAGGTCCGAAAAATGTTTGTTTTTTGGTTGTCTGGTTTCTTAATTTATGATTTTTTTGATTGATTTTTTGATTTTAAGGCTGCCATTTGGTGAAAAGTTGCAAAAACTATATTTTTCATCAATAACGCGACTTTTAGAGTTTTTTAGGCGGTCCAATTCACGACGCTAGCAAAAATATTTTATGCACACAAGAAAACAGATTTTTTTTTTGTTGTGGGACATCCTAATAAACATTGTACACAACCGCCCCTGACATGCGCCTAAATGTATGCTTATGGCTAGAAATGTATTCTGCAATACCAAACCCACATTAATGCATTTTTTGCTCAAGTTATAATTGCAGAACATAAATATGTATATCTCGAGCCTTGTGGTTTTTCATATACATACATACATACATATGTATGTTGGTATTACCCTTCTTGCATATGTACATACATATATGCAACCCTTCAGTTGGCACAACTCATTGCCCGCAAACTTCCGAAAGCATACTCGTTTTAAAGAAATATTTACATATGAAAAATGTAAAAACCAGCCTACAAATATTGTGAGGCGTTGGTTGGCACAAAATAAGCTGGCTGACCTGACCTGGAAAAATATTCATTCATTGCAAAAAATTGTCCGCATCCCACGCGTGCCAACAACTTTTCCGACGCCATGCAAACACGTGAACTTACTGCGCCAAGTCATCAAGTTTTTTTTTTTTTTTTTAAATATCTACATACTATGTATGTATAAGTACATATGTATGCTACACAAATTGCCGGCAGCGTAACACACGAGCTCCGCTCTTATGCAACAAATTCGCATACAAGTCATGGCGAACTAAACGAAAAAAGTGTTTTTTTTTGCAACTTTTTCGAACAAAAGGCTTTCCGTTACGCCTTCTGCCAATGTTAAGAGTGTGAAATGTTGCATTTTATTTTATTTAAATTTTACGTACATACATACTTACTATGTGTGTATATGTGCATACAACCTTTAGCTTGTTCTTTGCATGTAAAACGCCTAAAAGCCGACTTTACATTTCACATTTCTAAGGTTTCTTATTACAAAAAAAAAAGACCTTTGTGTGTACTCAGTATCTATGTGGGAAAGGCTGCAAATATTGTATATACACAGAAAATGCACTCAGAAAATTGCAAAATTCTATCGCAATACTTACTTTTATTTGTTTTTGTGCAAAGTAAAATATTCAAGTTCGCTTTCAAGTTGCCTCTTGAGGAGCATACATAGTTTTAGGTTAAGCGTGCATATGTTATAGGGTAACAGTACTTCAGTTCAAAAAGCCTCTCACACAAATATGCTCTATGTTCGGCTTGCATTAAGAATTGGCGTAAAGTCTATTAAGTTGATCCACTATGTCCAATTTTTTGGGGTATCACTAAAAAGTTCTTTGGCGCTGTTTATGTAGTGTGAGCTAAGATTGGGAGAAGATTTTTAACTGAATTCTCGTCTTCATCTCAAAATGCTTCTTCGACTGACTCTGTTACGTCCGAGGCCAGATAACTTTTCTTAAGAGATTTTGCTAGAAAAAAAAATATGGTGAGTTGCAACCATGCTATTGAATCCTAAAAGGGCTTTGGAAGGCGAATTCTGTGTAACAAAAGCTTCGACCACTTTTCGCTTATGAGTATTCACAACGGACCGACGAAAAAATTTCGGATAAATTTATTTTCATGCGAAACTCAGGATAAGGCTGAATATATTCTAAAGTTTCAAGCAGCGTCCGGACTTTGCTCCGATCGGAGTAGATTTACTCCGATTTCTTTTTTAAATTTAAAATCTAGTTGTCTCTTTTACTCCTCAACATTCCTTGCGGAATCACTTTGTATTTCTCAAAGCAGGGGATTGATGAAAGGCCCGGGCAGATACAAATTCTTTTCTGCGTCACAGGGATGATTTTGACTGACAAGACGCACAGAACATGGCGTGGCGACACAATGAAAACGTTGCCACAAACAAAACGGCTCAATTTTGATTGGCCAAAAGTGAGCTGGTTTTGAATTCCTTCCAAACATTGTTGTTTTGCCGCATTGACGCGCGTCAAAAGTAGAGAGTTGGGGAAATTTTATCAGTTGCGACAATGCATGCGTTGCCAATGTGGCGTCTTCTATTCAAAATCACAGAGTTAACTTCGGCATCAGTCAAAAGCATCCCTGTGACGCAGTAAAGAATTTCTAACTGGCGGAGCCTTAAGGACCAGAAAAATGTTTTGGAAAGGTGTATGTTTAGCAGCTTGGCAGAGTATATCGTCGCTTGGCATACAATACCGCGTATGAGGTGGCTGAGAAAAAAAAATAATTTTCGGAACTCTGTATCAGTGCTGGCCTACTTCACAAATTTAATGGTGAAAAATTTAGAAGAAAATTAGTTTATTTGCACTTTTGTGAAATTTTCGAACTATCATATAAGTAGTATTGCATTTTGCGTATACGCGGTATTGCACTCCAAGCGACAATATGTTTACGTTATTTATTTTACCGCACAGCAATGCTGCTGACGAAAGAAAATTTTCAGAGATGAATCCCGGTAAAAATAAATACAGGAACAGGCTTAATGTCAATAAGTTAAACCAAAGGTCAGAAATTTATACGCCGGTTGATAATCTACTTATCTTTTAAAAAATTATAAATTTATTGATGAAAGGTTTGTTTTGAATACTATTTAGAGATTAAGCTGATTTACAAGCACTCCGTGCCAATGCTTTACAATTACAATTAGGGTATTCACAAGATGTCGTAAGCGTCGTAATGTCTTAAAGTCGTAAATTTTTTCAATGTAAAATAACGGTTGAAACGGTTTAAAGGGATTGTTTGGGTATAATAAAAGCTATTTATATATTTGCTATCGATTTAGCAATGTTTTGGTGTGATTAAAAATGCTTTAAAAGCATTTTAACCGTTATTGTACATTGAAAAAATGTACGACTTTAAGACATTACGACGCTTACAACATCTTGTGAATACCCTAAATGTAAACAAAATGTGACGAATTGAAAACCACCTTAATATACATATGTATGTATATATTTACTTATATATGTACATATGTATACATATGCAAAATAATGCGTTAGTTTAGAAAAAATTTGATGAATTGAAAAGCCTGGCAGGTCTATGGCTGCCCGCAACACAGTACTTCGAATCGCAAATCTAGCTGAGCGAAACTATTTAATCAAATACACTTTGATGAATTTTTTGGGTCATTTATTACGAATCTGAAGTGATTTACCAAAAATTGAAAATGGCGGATCCAATATGGCTGACGAAAAATGAAACAAACTGGTACATTTTTATGAAACTGGGTATCTGAATCTAAAGTAAAAAAAAATTTCGTAATTATTTATGTGTGAGAAAAATTTTTTAAGTCATCGATAACTATTATTTTAAGGCTTAAATAATCAAACCCTTTTCATAATAATTATCAGCCAGGTAAATATTTTTAAGTCTTTAAAGTCTTTTATATGAGACTTATATTACAGAAGTCTTGTCATAACCATTATCATTGAGATAAATATTTTTAAGTCTTCAAAGACATTTATTTTAAGACTTATATTATAAAAGTCTTTTCATAATAATAATGAGTGCGGAAAAATTTTTTAAGTCTTAAAGGACGGGGCTTATTCAGGACGAACAAGCCCCCTCTTTTAAGACTTAAAAACGTTGTTCGCGCTCATAATTATTATGAAATGACTTTTATAATATAAGTCTCAAAATAAAAGTCTTTGAAGACTTAAAAATATTCATCTCAATGTTAATTATTGTTATTTAGATCTCTTTAGTTATTGGAAGCAGATATTCCGCATATTTCTGAACAATTTTGTCAATAAAATGTTTGTTATTTAATGGTCAGTGGAAACCCTCCTAGCATTATTAACTCTGTTTCCACTTGGTACTTTTTAAAAGGCTCATATTATTTGTCATTTCAGCACCTAGTAGAAAAAGATCTTTATAAATATAGACAAACTTTAGGAAATGTGAATGATTGAGTTCCTATGGTTTTTTTTTTTCATATTTATGGGGTTGGTTAATGGTATATTTAGAAACATGAATTCCAAAAGTAAATTATCAAAGTTCTGGAATAAGCAGAAAATTGCAGCAGTTTTGGAAAATAAAAGTCAACATAAGGTGTTTTTTTTTTCTTTTTATTGGACCACTTTTTTTAGTCATACTTTTTCGAAATTATTTATTTTCTTTTCATGCAATTTATTACCTTTCATGTTCCTCACAGAAAATTGATTGTGCTTTTCAAAATCATTACCGGCTACCGCCGCCAATAAAAACAAACAAATTGGTCAATAATTAAAACAAACATTGAAATGGTAAAAGTGTGCGAAAAAAAAACCAAAACATTATAACAACGACCGCAAGCTCATATTATTGCTCGGAAATCAACGCAAGCATCTTCGCTGTCGCACAAATCATCTCAATTGCTAGGCAGCACTCTTATCTGTTTAGAGTTGGCGTGCCGTACACGCGCATTTTCTCGCACTTTGCTCGTACCAGAATACTGATAAACTTGCATTTACATAGCTTTGTCCGGATGAGTAGCCATGCGTACAATACTTGCGCTGCATTATTAAAAAGTGAATTGATTGAAAGTGAAACTAAAACTGCATACGTAAAAAAATCAGCTGAGTTTAACTGAGCCTTTCTCCCTTCTTCGCTCGCGTAACTTTGCGCACAATGACTTCCATTGCAATTCATGTAAATACAAATGTAATGAAAGCACAGTGAACAACAAAAGTTGAACGACGCTAAAATTAAATTGGCGTATATATATATACATATGTGTGTGACAAGCCGAAAAAAGTGAAAATAAACGAGTAAATTACATACAACGCAACGACTACGAAACTAAGAATAGCACGCAGCACCGGATCCATTGCGCGAATCTGTCCACCGAGCTCGGAAGTGTGGACGCACGGGCTTTCTCCTTTCCTCGCAACCTCGACACCTTAACAAAGGCGGGGAAAATTTTCGTACTGGCGTGAGTACTGACAGAGCTGTTGATTTGGTTTGCTCTGCATGCCAGTTTGCTTGCCTGCCTGCCTGCCTGCCTGCCTGTTTGTTTGCCTGAAGGCCCGTTTGACTTGAATTTATTCTTGAAAACTTTTTTATTTCTTTTTATTGTTGTTGCTTGTACTTGGTAGTAAAAAATATTTTTATTGTTAAATATACATAAGCATTAGAATGCCTGACAAAAAAATTTGCAGCTTTTTCTCCAGAATTATAAAATATTTTTTTATTTTATTTTTTTTTATTTTAAGCTTGCCGCCAAAATATTTCGAAAAAATATTAAGAGTTACATATGTATGTAGGTAAGCTGGACCGGTTTCAAAATATCACTAAAAGTTTAATTTTTTTTTTTGTGATTAGGCTGATAAATTTTTTAAACATTTTTATGCAAACCTTAACCAAAGCTTAAACACCCTCTGTCATCTAAGATGTTTTTCTGGAAAAAAAACTAATTTAAGTAAAAAAAAAAAGATTTTGTATGCGTTCCCAAATCGGCACAGGTCACATAAATCGAAATATTTTGGCGGAAGTCTTTAAGTATAGAAAATTGTATAATTGGAAAAACAGTACTGATTTATTGGAGCGATGCACCCTAATATAGATATGTATGTACATAGGGGTAGGGGCGTTTCATATTTACTATCATTTTTGTTACTATCATCTACATTTTCCTTATTCGTCAGCGCTGTTGCCATCACTTCGACATGCCGTAGGTACAGTGACTCAAACAAAAGACCTCGTTTTGATTTTCTTAATATTCGTAATGTTTTTCGAGCTAATTTTTTTTGTTGTTATTTTTCTATAAAAATCCCATCCAAACTTTAACCAAAACCATCTAAATCACTGTTTCAAACTTAGAAAAGTTCAAAATTGAGAAAAATTCAGAAATTTTTTTCCTGGGTATGCAGTTTTATAGGCCATATAAATTTAGTCTGATGAAGTGCAAGTTTCAAGCGGCAAAAAATCGCTTCGATTTCTGAGATTTCTTTTTTAGACCT